TAAAATGGAATTTCGCAAAACGAGATCACTTTGAGCTGGGTAACATTCAACAGAGCAATCTCGCATAAAAACTTTTCAGGATATCCCCGAAACATTAAAAAAAGAAAAAGGAAAAGATCAAAAGGATAAAACTTTAACGCGAGAGACGAGAACCAGAAGAGAGATATTGGGAAAACTTTTCTCCGCTTTCTCAATCAAAATCGTATTTTTTCGAAGCATTATCATTGCAATCCGTATCTTTGTAGATTTTCTAATCAGACCCTCCCACTTCGGGAGGGGAGGGGAGGGGAGAGTTGAGAAAGATCCCATTTGGATAACAGAAAATATTCTATGCGGTAATTTAAATCTGTCTGGACTTTGGAGGAAATCGGACCGGATCCCAATTAGATCTCAAGAAATTTTTCACGCCCGACTCTCTTCCCTCTCTCGCTCTCCCCTTCCCCCCCCCCCCATTTCGCTCTTCCCTAATGAAAGCGAGCTACGGCAAAAATGTGAGGTGGTTACTTAACAGGCGGCGGACAGAGCTATTGTTAGCGCGCGTCTCGCGCGACGAGAACAAGCGTGTTCGCGCGTTTAGCTCCGTTAAACGTGATTAACCCGGAAAGAATCGGGCGCGCCGTTCTCGCCTCGCAGCTCGTCGCAATTGTACGAGGACAACGTGCGGTCCTCCTTCCGCCGTTTTTTCCCGTGGTGAAAGAAGAATCCTTGTAGCAGGCCTGCCCGGCCTTAGCTTTTCCGTCGCCGCGAAACGGATACGGACTCTCCATCGCATCTCTCCGTCGATGATCTTCGATTTCGTCTGCTTTTTAACCCACGTCCCCTCGCACTTGGCATCGATTCCTCCGCACCTCCGCTCGAATCTCAGAAGGAAAAAGGAGAGAGCCAGGCGATGTGAGAAAGAAGTAATGCTCAGTTTAATCGAACATGAAAAAAGTCACAGTTCCCGCGGACAGAAACGCTGCGGCCGTGAAGAATTTTTAGAAAATCTCTCCCAAATTCTTTTTGCCCCCCTCCCCCTCCCCTGAGAGAGCTACGCCGGTATATCCGGGGGTTGAGGAGTTCATTGGAAATATTTGAGACACCAGACGATTGCAAGTAGTATCAATCTTCTATTTCTTATATTTATACACTCGCCGACAATTTCACGGCTTTCCCTCGAATATTTAAATCTCACGAGACGTATTTCTCCCTCACGAATCACAGTATTTTAAACCTGACAAGAAGCACGCGGTAGGACATACGTTCTTAACATGATCGCCCGATCAAGCCTCTGGAGAGTCATTTGACTTCATTAGACTCCTCCCTCCTTCCCGTCCTCTGGCAACAAATGTCGAAGCACCCGCGAGAAAAATCGATGCGCGACGTGAACGCGCTCAAGAGAAAGTTCTCGACTTCACGTTGGGGGGGGGGGCGGACGTGGCGGGCAAGATAGACCAAAAGACACTTAACACGACAGACCGTGCGTCGCCGGAGCTCCTCTCCTCGGGCTCTTCCAGAGCTTTGAAATTACCGCGCGAAGTCGCTGCGTGTAACAAGCAAGAAAACGTAACCGCGGGGCTCGTCGCGAGTATACCGTTCGCCAAACAAAGCGAAACACGAGGGCGACTTGTCGCAGGCAAGCGCGAACTTTTACCGTTGCCTGCAGATCGCCGGTGCGTGTCTCTCTCTTTCCCGTCCCCGCCATGCCCTCACCTTTCCTCCGCCGAGTTTTAGTCGCGAGATTGTCATTGTTATCACGACGGCACGACATTTCTACAGTCACCACGTTATCGCCACGGTTTCTTCCTCGTTTTTTCTACGCCTCTGTCTTCCTCTTTCTCTCTCCCCTTCTCTCTCTCTCTCTCTCTCTCTCCTCCCCTCTCTGTCTTTGTCTCTTTCTCTCTCGAGTGTCAGGCTTGATTTGTACGTGGAGCGAGCCGTGGTCTTGCTCTGTAAGCCTTGAGCACCGTGACTTCGCTTCTGCGGGAACGTTTGCCCAAGCTTTGAGAAGCTTTAGCACGACTCCCAGCAGCGCGGGAAACGTATTCCGCGAGAAATTGCGTTGCAGTTTCGGGCCTAGGTCAAGAAGCTGAAGATTCATTGCTTTTCGTGATACTTTTGCGCGAGATCGGCTTGCTCTCGGGGCGGGGAGGGGGGCTTCGTCGGGATTTTGATACAATTTTACTCCGAAGTATATATCGATCGTTTTTCCTCCGACATGGCGGAAAGTGGTCGGAAAAAAAAAAAGCGACAAAATAAAATCGAGGCCAACTGTAAACGTATCGTGACGTTGAATTTTTTTAAATTAAATAATATCCGCAATTCGATACAGGTCGGTCCCTGACGATGAATTTTTTCGGCAAAGCGGCTCGATGGATCGCTCGAACGATCGTGCTCTCGCGCGTGGAAACTGTCGCGTTTCCTCGCAGGAATTACGAGTTTCACTCGAGAATCACTCGAGAGTTACTCCGCACAGAGACTCAGAGAAAGAGGGAGGGGGGAGGAGGGGGTGTGACGGAGAGAGAGAGCTGCTCTATTTAACACCCGGGGATTTGCATCGCTTAAGCTTAATCGAGTTAGTCTCGCATGCCGGTGAGATTCACCAAAGTATTCATTTAGGTGGCCGAGAACAAGCACGTACTATTCGTTACGGTAATCAAAAGAGAAACGCGGGAGGTGAGAGGGAGAGAGGAGTGTTATGCACTTGCACAGTACTGTCGAAAATTGAGATATCGAGTTATGGTTAACGATATTTCTCATTGGATCCCGGCTGAGTTCGTCGAGGAACTGCCTGGGAACTCGATGAAACTGTTTCAATAACAATATTACACGTCACCCGCGTGTACCTATCCATTTTGAGGCGAGGCTTTCGCGTTGATGAGTAAAGTTCTCCTCTTCTCCTCGAGGTCTCTCTCTCTCTCTCTCTCTCTCTCTCTCTCTCTCTCTCTTTTCCTCGCGCGCTCGAAACTGCTTTTCTTCCGAACGCAACGGCGGTGTAACGTCGTCCGATGTAATCTAACATGTGAGAGCGATCGATTTTGCTTTATTTACACGACGGGCTTGCAAAAGTCCGTCGGACTTAGTTGGATCGAAGGATGAGTCATCGGACCGGAACTTGATGAAAGATAGCAGAAAGAGCGGCGGATATCGATACTTCGGTGAAACATCACGTGCGTGTGCGTGTGTGTGCGTGTGTGTGTGTGTGTGTGTGTGTGTGATGCTTCGTCATTATTAACTAATAAGCACTATATATAAGTCAGAGGCTCACTGAAATGAGAGAAAATGTGACGACAGAAGAAGAGAAAGGCAGAAAAGATACAATCGGTCCGTTCTTTTTTCTTCGGGACGCAAACTTTGGCTGCGTTCACACGCGATTACAGGCGTAGAGATGTGAGATAACAAATTCCACACCGTTAATGAAGCTTATTGATGTTGGCAAAGTTGCGACTCGCGGTGGAGACCTAAAATTCTCATTAGGAAATTGTTGACCGCTTAAGACTTCATTAGACAGAGAAGAGTATGGTCGCTAAGCTACTTTTTTCTTTTTCATTTTGCGCCTTTGTGTGCTAAACGTTGCAACGAGCAACCTTGATACGATTTCACGGAGGAGCGAAAAATGTTTGGTCGGGTGGAACAATTTTCTGGTGAAATATGAACGACACGGAAATCCCGGCTGAAGTTACCCACATAGTTCAGTCCGAACGAGATCGAGGTTTTTAGTTAACTCAAACGGAATTGCGTGTGGTACTTTCTGTCGGACTTTTTCAGCCGTTCCTATTTCAGCAGAAAATTTATCCACTTTTGACCGTTTGAGCATCTTCCACTGTGTTCCATTAGTGCAGAGTTTAGTGTCATATTAACACCGCCATCGCCGTGACGGTCATCGGCGATCGTCGTGCGATAAGTACGTTGAAATATGTGTAACACGCAATCACTTGCATTTGCAAAATTACGAGTACGTTTTAACGCACGCTGATCGCTACGGCGGTCAGCAGCGACCGGCAGCCGTGATATCGCCGCGCTCGACACAAAAAGATAACGAATAAATTAATTATCACGCATAACGTACGCAGCGAGTGAAATATATATATATATATATATATAAATATACATGTATATAAAATAAACGAGCCAGGTTTATTTACCGCACATTTGGCGCTTGAGACTTGAGTCGAAGCGCTGAAATAATTAGCGGAAATTAGCTTGGCGGCGAACGGGTTAATAATGATGTAGAAGCGCGACATGCAAAGTGCATTGGTAAACAGATTAATTTTCGCTTATTAAATTTTTTCACACAGCATGACTACCTGCGCACATTGCGATGAATCTCGCTGCAACAGTCAGCTGCAACAGTAAACGGAAAGTCACTTTACAGTAAATACGGGGTTGATTAATGAAGAAATACCGGCTAAATATCCGGCTAACTAACCTCGAATAAGCCTCGATAAGCCGCTAACGTGACTGATTGCGTGACCGCGATATTCACTCTTGTTATTTCGCGTTCGTCTCTCGCATTTCAACGTTCCACGCGTTCGCGCGTTGTGAAAATAATTTAAGGCCTGTCCCGCGAAATTGGCCGCGTTCGGCAGAAAAAGCTGCTTACTAAGCGCTTAGTGATTATTATCTATGATTGGAGTATTCTTTTAGATCTTTAACAAATCCAGGGGAATGAACCAATCAGAAAATGTTTTCTTTGGAAACTTTGGTTTTATTTGCAAGTTTGAGAGGCCTTAAACTAACCTAGATACGTTTCCGTGATTGATCAGCTGATCGTCAAGATAATAAATAATAAAAAAATCTATATCTCTATTTAACATTACAAAATTAATGGCTAAAACCAAGTTTGTAAACAGAAATGATACATGGGTTGTGAACGTCCAAGCGTGATCAGCTGATTCACGGATTACGGGACGTTAGTCTAAGGCCTACCAACCTTATAACTTTGATTCTGTCTGTCTGTCTGTCTGTCACGACATCTTTGTGGGACGCGTTTAAATAACGCCGCGCGTTGTCTGTTTCAGCCGACGAAGCTCAACGTCTACAAGAACGATGCCGAAAGCTGGGATTACACGACGCCAACGTTGGGTGAGTCCGTCTCTCTTTTTCATCTACCTTATTTCTTTTTTTTCCTTTCTATCGATGTATGTACGTGTAACCTCGTGACACAAGAACACGCATATACACACGTACACGTACTCGCACACTTGTAGGGAGAAGACACGTAAAGCCACTCCTCGTGTCTCTCTCGACACGCGTTTCAGCGATCGAAGGGCACGGGTGCGGAGAAGACCGCTTCTTCGAACGTCGCGAGCGACCGATCGAAGAGCCATCCGACATACCCGACAGATTTTTCTCTGATTCTGAATATTTTTCTTTTCACTCAGTCCGAGCTTTTCTCCAACGCGCCACTGCACATTTCTCTCCTGGAGCTACATTCGTCAGCTTCTAAAATTCACATGTCACTAAGGGAGACTCCTTAACATCGGGTTGTGTGTGTGTGTGTGTGTGTGGTGTGTGTGTGTGTGTGTGTTTTGTGTGTGTGTGTGTGTGTGTATGTGTGCGCGCGCGCGCGCGTGTGTGTGAGATAAGTTCTCTCGGATTCTTCAGGCAAAGCGAAGTTGTATCTTCATGTTTGTCAAACGACGTGTACGCGAAGAGGTGGCGAGAGAAGATCGCAGACGAGAACGGCGTATTCGTTGTTTCGCAAAACGACCGACCACTGACCAAGGCTCACCTTCTCTTGCCTGAGAAATCCGGGATTGCTTCCTCATCGCCACGCAAGCCAACACCAAACTGTAACTACTGAAAGACCAAACAACGACAATTATGCTACTACATCCCTGACGTTAGAAAAATACGGTGAGAAGCGACAAGAAATTATAATTGTATTTTCACGTTTGTCGTGCGAAACGTATGCGAAATATGGCGGAAGATCAAAGATCTTCTCTCGAAAGGCAGCACATACAACATTGCTTCATAAAATTCTAACGACATCGAGATACACAATCGCCTCATTTCACCTGGAACATCCGACATTACTCATCACACGATCCAAATGCAAACTCTCAAGAGATTCGATTACAATGAATCGCGTCTCAGGTCTCCGAGACACATTCGGAGGCTCCGGTGGAAGCATACAATCTATCTCAATTGTCGCAGAAACGACGTGTGTCCAATCGCGGCCGACTTTCCCATCGCGGATCAGATTCCGGTGCGAGCGCCGTAGAATTTATTTATAATATTTACCGGGGAGAAAAGGAAAGCGGGTTCGCTCGAAAAAGCGCGGAGAAGCGCGAGCCAGCGATATTCCGATCGATATGTCTCCCCGCGGAATTTCATCCAATTGCCAGCAACGTCGTCGCACACGCGTGAAACGCGCACGATGGTGAACGATCGTCCCCGAGCATGTCGACGACGCGATTTCTCCCCTTTTTCGGTCGCCGTAGGTCGCGCACTTAGCGGGGAAAGCTAATTGGATCAAACGACGTTCCGGACGAGAGCACGAAAAGGTTTCTCGCGCGGAGGACCGGGAGTCTCTTTGTTCGTAAATATCCGATAAAATATTCCGTTTGCAAGAGTATCGACGGGGCGATCGGCGGAATTGGCGGCTGTCCGAGAGTGAAGAACGGTTCTTGGCATCGAATGTTCGGGAGATTCGGCTCCGACGAGCAGCAGAATTCGGCTTACCACCACCGAGCCGAAAACACGTTCGGATCTATCGTCGCCGCGCCCGTTCAACCGATTTCCTCTTCTCCGTGTGCGAGAAGGGCACTTTGTCCATTTGACGAAGAGATACTCCACGCGCTGTCGCTTTGATCCAGCGGACGCGCTTTCATCATACAAGCGACTCTCGCGTCGAGCTTCGATGTGGGACCGGCTCGTTTCGGTGAAAATCCATGAAAATTCACCAGACGACGCCAGGACGACGCGAAATTGAAAGCGCTCGGCGAGTGCGCGATCTCGGCAGTTGAAAGTTGCCGACTCGCGGCAGCCGACGGGGACGATCCAGCGGAACTCGAAGTGAACTCGTCGCTCGGCTGGCAATCGCACGCCGACCGGGATCCGCCGACGGATCGATTCGGCTTGGACGACACACGTGCCGTCGGCGTCACGACACAAAGACACGCGCGCAATCATTCGGACACCGCGGACTTGGCGTGAAACGTCACCGATAATCTCCCTCTTTCTCTTCCTCCCTTCCTCCCTCCCTGAATCACGCGCAGAGGGCTCGAATGCATCGTCCGGCGCAATCCTCCAGATCAGAGAATATCGAGTGCCTCCCGTTGGTACTTTCACACGTACCGCTGCTTGGTTCGCCGCGGGTCTGAAAGCGCGGGGGAGAAGGATAGGTCGAGTGATGAACGTGATGACAACACAAGTGCATGCGTTTTCATGGAAGGAAACGGAACGTCCAGGTCTTCTCACGGTCGAGTTTGATCCACGGCGACCAGGGATCTTTCCGGGCTCGCTTCTCGGGCGGAAGAGATGTTGGCCGCTGCGTCGTCGTCACGTTAATCCGACGAATCTAGCAGGCTTCCGAATTTTCCACACCCCGGTATTTTTCGCAGCCCGGAGAGAGAGTACGGTAGAATCAGCGTGACGACGACGAAGAACAAGCCGCGCCCTCCGCTCGACAACGAACGAAGGAGAGTTTCTCGCTTGCCGAGGCCGAAGTTGATCCGCGAGAATCGGGAGTTCCATCGCGACCGAGGGAGCCTCGTGTGTGCCAGCGTGTGCGTTTAATCGGCACCGCTCTGTCGCGGGCTCTCGAAATCGCGAGTTCACCTGTCGCAAATGCGCGTCAGCGGCGAGCAACCCTCCCGCGTTCCGCCCCGCTCCGCCCCATCGGGGGCGGAACGCAGAATCCGGTTGCCAAGCGATGACATTCTCGACTTGAATGGCCGGCCGCGGGGCGCCTCGCGCGTAATGCGATACTTCGATTCATCGCGCGCGTGGTTCACGTCCGCGGCACACGTCAGCCTGTGCTGAGTCGAATTCTCTTCCGATCGCACACGCACAACACTTGTACGCATCATACGCACGCAAGCTGGTCGAAAAGTCCGAGCCGGGCGCGCGCGGTCGCGCTCGCGAAAGCTTCCCACGAGTCACTGACCGACGGTGAAGGTATGCGAACCGTGACTCTCTCTCTCTCTCTCTCTCTCTCTCTCTCTCGCTTTCTCTCTCGCTCTTTTCCTCGCGCTCGCACGATAACAGCGGCGTGCGCGAAAACGGCCGTTCGGCGGCTCGGGGCCGCGGCCGCGTCGTGACGCATAAATTATTTCGAGTTATCTCGCGACATTAATTGCCGCGTTTCTTTCCCCCGAGCTAATGAAGATTACCAACGCCGCGAGCGAGCTGGGGCGGGACGCGCATATTAGCGCCGTTTCCGAGATAATCGTCCCGCGCGCGGCGCGCGAATTAGAGCGTGAAATAGCAATTACGCTAAGACACTCTAGCTACGCGGCTTTATTTCCGCGAGTAAATTCTCAAGATGAAAAATTCGCGCTGTGTGCGCGCGCGCGCGCTACCTTTCTTTCACCCTCCTCTCTCCCTCCCCCCCCCTTTCTCTCTCTCTCTCTCTCTCTCTCTCTCTCTCTTCCTGTCGCTCGATTTTTCTCCACCGTCCCGTGAAATCGGCGTAGCTGCGACAGGCGAGACCAACGAGGAGGGCAGCCGCGCGCGCGCGACTTTCTACTCATTTGTTACGAAATTGTTATCAATTCGCCCGCTTGAACGATAACTCGCGCTCGCTTCAAACAGAGACGGACAAGTAATGCGTCTGCCCGCATCTTTTCGGACGACTCGTCCCTCAGGTGCGAAGAGATGAAAGGGATGGAAACAATCGTGCGATTTTACCAGCCGTTCATCGACGAGCCTCCATGCCGGAATCACGCGAGCTCGTTTCCTGAGCCCGCGGATTCGTCAGGATGAGCGACTCCCGGCCGGAAATCCGTTCGAAAACGCAGCACGCTTGCACATTTCGTTGAGACAGACGGGGACGGTGAACGGACCAAGAGGCGCCGCAGTCGCCTTTTTCTCTCTCTCTCTCTCTCTCTCTCTCTCTTTCTCTCGATGCAACTTTGTTCTCAAACTCAAAGCCACCGAGCAATATGGCGGCCGAGCGACTCCTGCACGGGGAGTACGCCTGGCTGAATTAATGAAGCAGCCGGGCGCGTTTCCGTCGAAGAAAACGTAACACGTCTGCCGCTCCGCGACTTTCATCGCGTTGATTTGAAGAAACTTTCCTCTCCTTCGAGGCTAAAGCGAGACGAGAGATAAACTCTACACTGATGCGCCTTCGCGAGGGAGCAAGGGGAGAGACGCCTAGGTCGCGGATTGCGGACGTGCGAGTCGGCCGTTATGAGGACTGACAAGCGGGAGTAATATTTAAGTCGGCAGATTAACGGGGCCGCTGAAGTTCGAGAACTGCTTTGAAGTTCGCAGGCCGCCGCGTGTTGTGTCGTGTTGCTCGTAGCAATTAGCGGCGGCGGCAAGCAGTCGCAGCGGAATATCGCGTGCCAGGTACAAACCCTAAACGGGATTTCGGCGGAACGACGAGCGTGGCCGGGCACTCGAGGAATTCGCCCCAATTACGCGCGCGGCCTGACGTTCCGTCACCAGCAGGCGCCTCGCCAGCCAATCGACGTCCGCGAGCTTCCCGGCCGCGCGGAAATCTCGCGAGTCCTCGGAGACGAATTTCCCCGCTAATTGCCGTCGTTTTCGGACTACGACGAGCGGGCGCACCTCTGCTCGCTATTGCGCGAGGTTCTCCGTCATATCCGCCTGCGCGTCGCGTCGCGTCGCGTCGCGTCGCATCGCGTCGCATCGCGTCGCGCTGCCGCTGGTGGCGGTAAATCCGTCTCTGAGAAAATTACAACTCGCACGCACGCACGCGACCTCGTCATTGCCGCGCGGTGAATTTTGCAAAATTGGATTACGGCTAGGAATAGATCTCTCGCGCGGAAGCATCGATTTCCCGCTCGCGCGGCCCGCCGCGCCGCGCCGCGCCGCGCCGCGCCGGCAGTGATTACGTCCTCCTCGAATATTTGCTGAACGATATTGAGGGATATTATTACTGGTTTGCG